GTTTTATTCATTGTATTTTTGAATAATCATTTTAAAATAATATTTTAATACAAGGGTTCTCAAAATTTGCAATATTGCAGCCCTTTATAATATTAAATGAACTAACATTAAACAAAACAAGTCACAAAATTTATTGTGATTAATGGATGATTTTGACAGATAATCTAATGTTTTGACAAATAGATCTATCTATTTACTTAAATTTAACTCTGGGCTGAGTTGTTTCACTTGTCAGGCACAAAAGACCAGGTCCACATAGGAAGGTTCAATTTAACAATCATTTCATGGCTGGGATTGTCGTAATGTGCTCTACATGGGGCTACCTTTGAAGAGCATTCAGAAGATACAGCTGGTGCAGAGTGCAGTGGTGCAGGCAGTTCCTGGGGCCTGAAGAATGGCCCATGTAATACCATTGCTCTGCATGCTCTGTTTCCAGGTACAATTCACAGCAAGGGTCCAAACTACTTGAAACTGTGGAACTTGTTGCCTGAGTATTCTGGTTGGTGGGGTCCAGGAGAAGGTTACAACTTGCCCCCCCCAGAGTATGGTTGGCTCCAGCCCTCCTGACCTTCCGTAAGACCTTGCTCTGCCAATTAGCTTGGGGTTGTGACAATAAAGATGGCTGATCAATTAACTGATCAATATCCCACCTCCTCCATCCTTCCACATCTTTAATTGGGCCACACTGCTTGTCATTACCTGATAACAGTTAGATAAGGGTCAATAGCAATCAAGGGGAGTTGGACTTAGTTTGTGGCTACATCATGATTCTAGGCTGATATCTTTTTTCACCCCTCCCCCTGGCTCTACCATTCCTTCTCCCACATTTGAGCAAGCCATTGAAGCAAATTTGGAGAATGACTTCCCTCTAAATTGTCCATGACTTCAAGAGGCCACAACACACGTTTTTATACTCATATTACCAATAGTCCTTGGCTCAGGACTATAATGGAGCCTGCCCATTACAATTGTAAATTGTGGTGGTCATTAAGCAAGTTGCACATATGATCACTTTGCTCAACTAGTGGCTCTACCAGATGCAGTTGCTAAGCAACTGCACAGATTATTAAACAGAGGGAAAGAGCTGCCTTCTGAAAGAGGCAAGCTGCTCTCCTCCATATCTAGAAGGGAATTCCTGCACTGGACCAGAGAAATGAAGCTTGGATCCCTGAAGATTCTTGTTTTCTCCAGTCCACCATGCCAGTTCTCCTCCCCTTTGTGTGTGGCCTTTCTAGCCTTTAAAAACATTGCATTTGCTAGCTTTCTGTCTAGAAAGTCAGCAAATGTCACCTTTATGAAGGGGAGAACGGCTGGACAAAAGCCTTTTTCCCTTTAAGAAAGATCATGTCTGAAAGGAAAGAAATGCTTTTTCCAGCTAGTATACTTGAGAGCAACAAGCTGCAGAGTGAAATCCATGTGACAGGTAGCCCTTCTGCTCTCAGAGAGACTGGGTAAAAAAGGTCCATCCTAAAATAAGTTCCAATGGATCTTTTTCAGCCAGCTCCTAGAAACCAGAAAGAGTCCTGTGATAGTGATTTTGCAACCTTTCCTGCTGACTTCCTTGTTGACTTTCTGAGAAAGCCTGCAGGGAAGATTGGGAGAATGCAAATAACAATTATATGAATATGGAGCTTGGCAACCCGTTCTAAGTGCAAATGGGTTTTCAAAAGTCCAGATCACTGTTATGTGGCCTCATAGTGGGTGACCTTTGGAACTTTGAATCCGGGTCATAAGTATCTCCTAGGTAAATGTCTGCAAAATTCTAATATTATTTCCCCCAAAAAAGCAAACTATCAGGGCTACGTAGCAAGAAAAAGACTGTTCAAATTGTATTTCTACTTAATCACCAAATTTATTTGAAAATATTTAAATTTAATTTAAAGAAGTTTTCTATATATTGCAATACAGTTAGTTATCCTGGTATGAGAGCAGCGTAATATTAAATAACAGTTTATATAATTGACAACAGAGGAAGTTGTGTCAAGCCAAAAGTCCCTCTTAATCCAACACAATTGCTAATCAGGGACATCTGGGAAATTTACAAAGCAGGAATAATCTCTAGGATCTAAGATTCTAGGCTTTTAATTACAAGGAAAATAGATATCCATTCAAACTGGTACTTAGAATTTGTTAACAAAAATCCATATATGAACCAATAAGGACAATAAATTGTAAGGCTGAACTTTTCATTAACTGTTGTGCAATTAAGCATATAAATTAAGTGCTGTTTTTTTTTTTTAAAAAAAAACAAAAACTCCCGACTTTCTCCACAATTATTTCAACGGATGACCCCACACCACAATTTCCTTGAAAGTGAGACGATATCTTTCCCATATATGCTCAATATATTAGTAGGGGCAGTACAGGGAAGCCTTTACCAATTAGGTATGGGGAATTACCATGCTGACTAGAAAGTTTCAAACCAAAGCATCTGAATGGCACAGATTTGAAGTAAGTTGGAATAGGTGAAAAGAATATGTATCCTCTCTATTTTTAAATTGCAAAATCAGCATTACACAGACTGGGCAATTAATTTCTCACATTAATAAGAAACCATACCTAAATTACAAGTATTACTGTGAGAACGTTTTCATTTAAACATAAGAATATTATTTAATCTGAGAAAATCCTCTGATGGCATGATAAAACAACAAAATGAGAAGCAGAGATTTAAACATGATTATTTATTTATTTATTTCTGCCTTTGAATTAATCCTGGGAGTATCTTTTACTGGTACAGGTAGTCCTCAATTTACAATTACAATTGGAGTTTCTGTTGTAAATTGTGTCAGATCTGATTTTACAACAATTTTTATAATAAAGTAAATCCACCTTTCCCATTTTTGGGGGGGGTTGGAAATTGGCAAAAAAAGTCACAATCACGTGATGGCAAGATGTGACAACCAGCTGCAAATGTGACCTGGTTACCAAACGCCGGAATTGTGATTATGTAACTGCAATGGTCATAAGTGCAATACAGATTATAAATCACTTTTTCCAAGGCCTTCATAACTTGGATTTTCATTAAATGAATGGTGGTAAGTTGAGGATTCCCTATATAATAAATAATAACATGCCAAGCAGGGATTAATAATACAATTAATTAGATTTAATTCATTCATTCATTATTAATGCTTCTCCTGGTAATTGCCTGGACTAATCCCTGCAGTTATCTTGTGAGATTTTGGTAGTGATTTGCCATTGCCTGCTTCCTAGAACTGAGAGAGAGTGGCTGACAACTCTTCTGGAAACAGAGCTCTGGTGTTCTTCCTAGGATCTGCTCATTCTCCCAACTTAATTCCTGTTATAGCCCAAGTGTTCTTATCATTTTGGTCTTTGTCACAGCTTCTCTAGTTTCCCCTTCAGGCCCCGATACTTCTACAGTCTTTCATACTCCTTCTTGATGTTGCTGTCCCTTAGCATCACTACAGCTATCCCCACCACTGTTTTTTGGTCCTTGTCTACTACCACAGTATCTGGTTGCTTGGATAGTACCTGCCTGTCCATCTGGGTCTGGAAACTCAACAGGATCTTAGTCCTATTATTCTCTACAATGTTCTGTGGAATTTCTCATCTGGATGTAAGATACTTACACTCTGTAGATCAGGGGTTCTCAACCTTGACAACTTTAAGACTTGTGGACTTCAACTCCCAGAATTCCTCAGCCAGCAAAGCTGGGAGTTGAAGTCCATAAGTCTTAAAGTTGCCAAGGTTGAGAACCCCTGCTGTAGATGTTCCTGTACATAATGCCAGGTATTTGGTTGTGTTGTTCAGTACATGCTATTCTTGCTTGTACCTTACACCCTGACACTATGTGTTGGACTGTTAACGGCACTGAAAAAAGTGACTTATCACCCTTGCAGCATTCCCATGGTCATGTAATTTACATTCAGATGCTTGTCAACTGACTCATATTTATGATGGTTGCAGTGTCCTGATGTCATCTGATCCCCTTTTGCAACCTTCTGACAAACGTAAGTCAATGGGGAAGCCAGAGTCACTTAACAACCGTGTTACTAACTTAAAGATTGCAGTGATTCATTTAACAACTGTGGCAAGAAAAATCATAAAATGGGGCAAAACTCAGTTAACAAATTTCTCACTTAGCAACTGTCAGAATCCAATTATATTTCATCCCTAGTTATCAACTATAGAAAACCCCATTTCTGCCTTCCCTGGATTCTGTCATACGATGAAGGGAAGGGGGTGAACAAAGGGACTCACTTCCTTCAGTACACTTCAAAGAGACTGAATGTGGATATCGCCAAAAGGACTAACCATAAGAATGGGGCTATTACCTTTCATGTAGTTCTCTCTGAAGTCTCCATCCAGCCGGCAGTAAGGAAAAGGGGGTGGGAGTGTAATGCCTGAGACTGTCGCTGGAAGAAGGGGGTGATTGGGTGGGGCTACTGGGGAACCCCTTAAAACCTTGAATGGGAGAGCTTGGACCCCAAGTCCTGTCTAGAACGCCTGCAACCATTTTCTCTTAATAAAGGATGCCTGTTGGAAGAATTATTCCAAGAGTTCTGTCTCTGCAAAGTGGTCTCAATTGTGGTTGTAAGTTGAGGATTACCTATATATCACCAAGAATCCTGATGGCGCAGTGGTTAGAATGCAATATTGCAGGCTAACTCTCCTCATATTCTGAAATTCGATCCTGGCAGGGTTAGAGGTTGACCTAGCCTTCCATCCTTCTCAGTAAAATGAGGACCTAGATTGTTGGGAGAAATATGCTGACTCTATAAATCTCTCAGAGAGTGCTGTAAAGCAATATAGAGCGATATATAAGTCTAAATCCTATTGCTATTGTTATATCCATATATCTATATCTAAATTTTATATATAGATAGATAAAATACAAAACATGAAGAACTTACATTGCTACAATTATATTTAGCTGTCATGGATTTGAGGGATGAGGCTAAACAATTTCAGAGAATTAAAAACTAAAACATTTACTTCTGAAAATGGAAGAAATCACATATTTATCATATTATTACCTCATCAGGGGCTCCACTGCCTGGGAAGAAGTTTCCATCATCGTAGCGATGTAGTGAAATATAAAGGACATTGGGATCACTGTAGAAAGCTTGCTGCGTACCATTTCCATGATGTACATCCTTAAATGACAGACATAGCAATATGTCAGGATTACTTACAAGTGGCTCTGTACATGAAAACCTCTTAGGATGGATCAATTATGGAAGTAAATAGCCCAACTATATGTAACATAGTATGCTTTAGATCTCATCTCAGAATATGTTGGGATTTTAAATCACCATGGTTTTCCCACAGTATAGGTACAGTTTTAAAGATGGATGCGCTAGTCACATCCCATAAATTTTAATGTACATTTTGGAGTTGAAGTTCTTATATGAATAGAGCTCATAACTTTGTGTGTTTGTTTGTTTGTGTATAACATTTATTGGCTGCCCATCTTACCTTCAGGTAACTCTGGGCAGCTTACAATCTTAAAAATAAAAACTGTATCAAGATAAAAGCCTAAATTGGATACACACACAAATATAGTGACCCAATTAAAAGATAGGAACACAGGAGCAGAACAGAGGAAAGGTGGGATCTGTTGTTAATCGATCAACCACCTTTACTGTGATATTCTCCCATTGGAGCCCCAAGCCAACTGGCAGAACCAGGTTTTTAGGCTCTTATGGAAGGTCGGGAGGGTTGGAGCCAACCTCACTCTGGGGGCAAGATGTTCCATAGGACAGGTACAATGGCAGAGAAAGCCCTTCTCCTGGACCTCCCTGGCTGGACTACTGGGGCTGACAGGACACACAGCATGTCTCCTTTGCTGGCATAGGTGGGGCAGGCTAATCCCAGTGGGATGAGAGGGTCCCTTAAGTCATTACAGTGACCATTCTCACAGAACTGGTGGTGCCATCCTCAGGGCGCAAGGGGAGCTTGGTAGCCCTCCTTGACTCAAACTGTACCAGGTGCCTGGTCAGCTCTGCCCTAGTGTGAAACTAGGTCTGAGACTCAGACAAAGTGCCTGTGGTTTTTTGCCAGCTGGACAACTTGGAAGTAGGGGGGCCTGTACAATGTTCATCACCGAACCAATAGAGGTGGGAATAGGGGCTCATATGGAAACCTTGAGCTTTATTGTGATGCCAGGCATGGAGAGACCCCTTGTATTGGGGTTGGCATAGCTACTGAAGTTAAATCCTTATGTAAACTGGAGAAGGAAAATGTTAAAGATTTGATGAGCTAGCCCCAAGGGAAAAATGAAAGAGAGACTTGAGGTCCCTACCCCTAAGGGCAAAGCCAAGAAGGGAGGTGGGAGCTGTGACAAAGGAACGCCCCAACGGTGATCCCTGGATTGCTAAAGAATATTGGGATCTACGAGATGTTTTCAATGAAAAGAACTCAATTGCTCAACTGATCGCTTCATAGAAATCTTACTGGGGGCTAAATTGCCCAAGCCCAATCTGTATTCCTTGATCCCCAGAAAATTAGAGGAACTGCAGGCATTCATAGACAAAAACCTAGAGTGTGGTTTCATACAACCCACCAGACCGTGAGTGGCTGCCCAGGTACTGTTTAAGAAGAAGGATGGGTTCTTTCGTATATGTATAGACTACTGTGGGCTAAAGACTATTTGCATGGAAAATGTCTACCCACTTCCCCTAATGAAGGATATGCTAGCCTATTTGGCAAAGGGGAAGATTTTTACCACATTGGACTTGCAGGAAGCATATGACCGGGTTAAGCGATAGGATGGGAGACCACCAGGATAGGCCGGGAGGAGGGGGCAAGGGGATGGTGAAAGGACAACATGGCAGGACTAAAGCAGGACTTCCCTCAGACCCTCCTTCCCTCTCGTTCCAATCTCCCTATCTCCCTCCCTCCCTCCCTCCCTCCTTTCTACCTTCCTTTCTTCCCTCCCTCCCTCCTTCTCATCTCTCCTTCTTTCCTGTTTACATCCCTCCCTGCCTCTCATTCCAATCTCCTTCCTTCAGTCCTATTTCTCTCCCTCCCTGCTTCCCTTTCTCATTCCAATTTCCTTCCTTCCTGTTTCCTTCCTTCCCTCCCTCCCTCCTTCTTTGCCTCCCTCTTTATCATTCTCATCTCCTTTCTTCCCTTTGTTTCCCTCTCTCCTTCCCTATCTCCCTCCTTCTCATTCCCATCTCCTTTCCTTTCTTCCTGTTTCCCTCCCTCCCTCCCTCTTTCTTATTCCCATCTCCTTCCTTCCTTCCTTCCTTCCTTCCTTCCTTCCTTCCTTCCTTCCTTCCTTCCTTCCTTCCTTCCTTCCTTCCTTCCTTCCCTCCGTGTCCAGGAAGAGACAAGGGGAGGGAGAGAGGTTGCCATAGCTTGAAAGGCCACTGTAAATTCCTGGACAAGAGCTGCACAGCCTTAACAGCAGAATGGCGGGACGATATTTGTCATGAGAGAGGGAGAAAAACAGGGAAGAAATGCAGCTGGGGAGGGGTCACCCTCCATGCCGAATGAGGAGACCAGCAAATGGCCCTTGCCCACTTCACACACATGGTTCTGGGGGCTCCAGGGGCGCCATAAGCGCAGTGAGAGTCCACGTTAACTACATGATGCTGTCCAGCCCCCAGCTGCCCAGTTTCGGCAGGGAGCGGCATGCTCGCTGCCTCCTGTGCACACGCCCAGGCAGGTTTGGCTTCTCGCCAGCTTCGCCTCGCCCAGCCCAGCCTCTCCGCGTTATGAGGAGAGTGGGCTGCACCCAGAAGCACTTAAAAGCCTTTTGGGATTCAATTCAACCCATTGTTTGCCCAGATAGCCCTCCGCATCACCAATTTGAAGACAAAGGGGGAAGGAAAGCCCAAACCTAGCCAACCACTGAAATGGACAATAGAGTACCAAGTGGCATTCGAAAAACTCAAGCATATGTTTGTGGCAAAGCCAATGCTATCGTGTTTTCCCGAAAGTAAAGCCTACCCCCAAAATAAGCCCTAGTTTTGATGCAGACGCAGGAAGATGGAGCTCCATCTTTTGCGTCTGGTTTCACCCTGCTGGAAAGGGTCAAAAGTCGCCCTGTAGAGGTGGCAAACAAGGAAGGGACTCTCATTCATCACAGGGGGGGGCAGCAGCCCTCCCATTTGATCCGAGGAAGCCCTCCAAACTGGCAGGGGAAAGACTGGCTGCATTTGTTTAGCCACTCTAAAGCTGCTGATAACGGAAGTCAACAAGCACTACAAGCAACTTTACAGCAACATGGATGAAACTGGGTGAGACCTGATCCTTTCTTTATGTTTTTAACATCTCTTCCTGAAAATCTGTCCAAAGCACTCCCTCCGATGAAAGAGGGAAAGGGAATTTCCGCCCCATTCCCTCAGAAAAGAAAAGCAGCGAATTAATTACTTGGGGATATTGGCGAAACCTTTAAGACTTATCTGAAATTAATATATACATACAATTTGAGAATTTGGGGACTAAAAATGTTTTTAAGACTGTAGAGGTGAGAGACAGTCGTGTGTGGAAAACTGCCCCTCCAATGCTTGTGTTTTCTCTGTATCTATCTCCCCCCGCTCACATCACCATAGCGATGTGAAAGTGCGCAGGTCTGTGTGACCTTGCTTGTCTGATAACAGCTTGCTCGCAAACAACAAGATTCTATTAACTATTCCCTGTTTTTGGCCTCTGGCTTTTTACTCTTGAGGATTGGTAAAGGATTTTAGCCAATTAAATGCTATTGTCATGCAGTAACTTTTGCTTCTTGTAAAACTCTATAAAAACAATAAACACTGCGAAGGCAGTCAGCCATTTCTTGGCACCTTGCCATGACTGAGCACTGATTACTACATATGGCGTCTGAACAGGGACATTTGGTTTTGGGACCCCTCCGGGAAGAAGCAGCTACCAACATACTTATCATCGTCTGGAACAGACCCCTAGGTACACTTTCGTCTTACGAGACCTCTCAGTGGTAAGTATGGCTGCAAATTACCCCCCCCCCAGCAAAAGCATGTACAAGAACTTAGATTCTTGCTACACAACTCAGGCGTGGCAATACTTGAAGCGGACACAAGGAAACTGGCGGCTGGGATAGGAAAACAGTATTCTTCGAATCTTGAGTATTGGACGCTTAGGCTAAAATAATTTACATCTTGAACCTTGGGCTCCTGTATAAACATCGATAGTATTCAGTGCCGTCAGGCAAGGGGAAAAAATATGGCTCAAATGCTTCAGAAGGGCAGCAATTAACTACCAGCCCCCCTTCTGCTTGCAACTAAGTAAAATTTATTCCTCTTAAAACATCTTTAATTGGATTTTCAGCTTCTTCTGAAAAGGCTAATTTGTTTGCTGTTTATTTAGAGATATAAATCAAAGTGTTTTGAGCAATTGGAATGGTTTGAAACTCCTCTGCAATTTGTTAAGTTTAATCCTGTCAGACAATGTCTGGTGGTGCTCTTGTGTTATGTGTGTGTGTGTGGCCACTCAGAACATTATGCTTGGGCTTGGAATGGTGAGAAAAATGGGAGATGATTAGGGCCCTCAAAACCACTTTTGGTTGAAATCACCTTGTCATTTTTCTCGCTTCTTGCAGAACAAGTCATATGTCTAAATAAATGTTGTTGTAACAGTATTTGTGTATATACGTTTGTCTGTGTTGTTCTGTGTTATTTCCAAGACTTGGAAGAGGGTAAAACCCTCTCTGATAACAACAATACAAAAAGGCCTTGTTAAGAATATATGGTTTGCCTGGAGAAAGTATGAAATGAAATATTTGTATGTGGAATGGTTTTATGCAAAAGTCAGTATGGAACTGAATGAGTTAATTTGTTGAAGTGTGTGTTAGCCCTCAAACCCCACCCATTCTCTCCCAAACTGTGAAAAAAATAGTAAATATTTGTATGAGAAGAATTTATGGAAAATGCATATGAAGGAGAGAAAACTATTTTTGGTATTGAGATTTCCCCCCCCCCCCGTCTCTTTCGGCTGGCTGCGTTGCTTAAAGAGCGAGAGACAGAAGGAAGGGGAGCTGTTCGTTTAATTTTTTTTTCCTTCTGCTTAGAATTGCGATCTGAGAAGGGTGGAGTGAATCTGAAAGTTGACGTTCACTTATGCAGTTTCGACAAATAATTTTTTACTCAAAAGAGGAAACAGTAATTGTTGGACAATATTTTTTATATCC